CAAAGGTTTTGGTTCAATTATAATAATTACTCTGCTTCAAACTTGAGGCCTCCTGCACAGGCTTCAGATGGAAACCACATCAGCTGCCGACTCTGCTGTACTTCATACACCCCACAGAACACACTCTCTGCAGATGGCTTTATTCTGGCAAGCTGCTTGGACCCATGCGCAGGGGCAGCTCATGTGACCAAGGCTGCAAGCATATCCATGTCCTACACACCCCTGTGAAACCAGGAGCAGTCAGTGTGCCACCAGACTACAGACGAGAACAGGATGGTACGGTTGGTCACCTATCAGGTACTCAAGTGTTCTATCTTCCCCCCTTCATTAACCCAACCTTTTTATCTCCAGCAAGAGTTTCACCCAGGCAAAGAAAGCAGGGCTAGTCCTGGCCACTGGCACCAGTCAGTGCTGCAGAAGCAGGTTTACAGAAACCAGCACAATTGGCCAAAATTGCACAGGCAACGTTGTGCCAGCTGGATGGTATTTGTGAGTCTATCTGCTTTCCCAAACCACTTGCTTTCCAACACTGAGCCCCAAATGTGAATGCACCAATCTCTGTTTACCACTTAGTGCACAATTTGCAGCTGAACTTCACTGACGTGCATGTCCCAAATGGGCTGTAACCACTGTGAGAAGGCTTTTCCATCTGAGTCTTGTTGTTATTCTATGTATTTGTTACAGCACTTTCTGCAGTGTGATTAACAGTGACTTGTTTCCAGAGTTTGTCACATAGTATTGCTCAAAGTCACAAAATATTTAGGAATTCAAGGGCTTTGGCCCTATGGTGTGGCTTTCTTTATATCCACAGCTTTATTGTGCAGTAAACCCAGCAAGAATTTTTTTGCAAACAACCAGAAGCCTAAGGCTTTCAAAATAAAAAATACTGCCTTACTTTGATCTAACTGCTAGGAAGGAATTGTGGTTTTCTGACATTTGGGAATTAGCAAGTGAGGGCAAAAAACCACGCCTGCAAGTCCAGAGTGCACATAACAAACTGAGGCCATAATAGCCCATAAGCACACACACACCCCCATGCCCAGAACTGCACTTAACATCCTCATCTTCTGTTGGAAACAATGGGAGTCACAGTTTCACGGATTCTCCTCTGTTGATTTCTTTAATATTTAAAAAGACAGCTGTTCCAACCCTATCTATCCATTCTTGCCTATGTACATATGGTCACAGTAACTAGTCTCCTTCCCATTTTCCTTGTAATTCTTCCTGAACAGTAAGGGTGGCACTTTCTTTCCTCTGGCACACTCACAAAAGCATCAGTCAACCTTGCACTACAGCCAAGTCCCCCAAGGGAACCCACTAGAACTCCAGAGGTTTTTTCTGTGCTTTAAACAAGGCTTACGAGAAAAACACGGCTCTGTCCGTGGCTCCAAGCATGCCACAGACAGGCAATGAAAAAGGCACTTGTGTTCCTGTGGCAGGGTTCCAGCATCCTGCCCAGCATTCCAAGTGGTCTGTATGCTATCAGTGCTGGCTCTTGTGCTTGATAAGGAACAGGCCACTAACAGGCCTATTGTAATGGAGAGAAAGGACCTCACTGACTTCAGAACAGGCTCAAGTGTCCTCTCCTGACCCTTCTTAAGCCATCTGGAAGTGGCTGTTCTCAAGTCAGACCACTTTTGAAACGCTAAAACAGGAGGGGCTTAGAATTGGATTTTTAGGCATCTCAGATGTCAGCTACATTTCTGTCTGTTGCCAATGACAGGTCTTCTAGGAAGTCTTGTACTTGCTGTTATGTATTATTTAAAACAATCAAAATAGGTTCTGGACAGAAGGGAGAGGTCGTGCTGTTTTTGACATGGCTGAGAGAATACTGAAGGACTCTTGACAGCCATGCCACTGTCCACTGCCAAAAGCACTCATTCCACAAGATCATTTCCCAGTTCATGTGATTCCAGTAATTATTTTTGCAACTTTCTCTTCTCTACCTGGTTTTCTCCTTCTGTCTCCCCCCCCGCCATCATCCTTGAGCCATCCTAGCTGCTAATCTTTACTTGCTTTAGAAATCAGAGCAAACAGCTTTGAATTCCAATGCCTTTGAAACCATCAACTGGAAGAAGAGTTCAGGCACACAGGTACATCGTCACGGTGCCAGGAAGACTTCCCACCCTTCAAGTGGCACCAACTTCACTGTATAAACTAGATTCTGAAGTCCTGATTAGGAAATACAAACCAGAATATCTACCTTATGTGAGATTACAGAAAGCATTTATTTACTTTAGGCTTTTCCTAGAGATGAAAAAAATCCTGAAAACTTATCTACAGACGTGGCTTTACAACAGTAAATGCAAGAACCATTCTCCTGCTAGGCCAAGGGAGATGCAGAATCATGCAGAGACGAAAACACTACTGGTGCTTGTTCTGCAAAGCAGTGGCAGAGTTAACATCAAGGATTTGTTTCCCATCATTCCACTCCTTCCTTTTTTTAAAAGGCTATCCACTGATATGGTCACCAAATTAAACCAGCTCTGCATGGAGGCTTCACGACTAGCCACCACTTAGAGGTATCAGCTGCTGTTCCATATCTGTTACTGCTCCTCTGGTTCAGTGAGAGCCCATGGGGTGATGGAGGGGGAATTTAAAAGCAGTGCACTAACCTGTCTCCAGTGAGTGGCATAATGACGTGTGCCTGGGTGGAAAACACGATAAACGATAATCTCATCTTGGGGCTTTAGAAAAGGGAAAGAGGGAGAAAATATGTATTTTAGAGAAACATATAGCTGCACAGCATTTCATTCACTATTTCAGGCTTCATTCACATCATCTTTACCCTCCAGCTTCTTCGGAACATACTTTTGAACTACAAACCCAAAAGGAGAGGAATTAAAAGATTTCTGCCCATCTTTTCCTTACCTAGATGCTTTGAGAACAAAGTAGCAGAATTGCTACTCTCTCCTACTTAATTAGAGTCCAAGATATGGAACCAGAACTCCCATGATACGATCTCCCCACACACAGAAGGTAACGCACATCCTTTGGTATTGTTGTTGTCGCTGGTGTAACACAAAGCCAGGGACATAGATGCAGAGTTCCCCCTGCTCTGGGGATTACCCACAGACACATTTCCTCTTTTCTTCCAGGCTGACACACTGTCAATTTCCAACTGTGCGCTTTGGTCATCAAATCACCCCAGTCACAGAACTAGCGCCTGATGACTGCCTCAACCCCAAAAAAGCTGCACGTGCACTCTTCCAGAGTAAGTCTGGTTTTGTTTTGGTGACAGAGCTGTGAGACTGGCGATCAACTTCCCTTAAAATATCCAAGGAAATATCACAGTAAAATGCAATATTGTACAAATTGACTTTATCGAGGAATTCAATCTTTTTTTAAGAAGCTAACCCGTCTCTTTGAACAAGGTTACAGGGAATCATGCAATTAGCAGCGGGAAATGCTTAAGAACTGCCTGATGCTCTGGAAGCCCAAGACAGGAACTTTACTAAGGTAATTTGTAACACCTCTCCTACCTGCTTTTAATTTTTATTCACTACAATTCCAATACATTCAGTAACTTTGTAATTCATTGTATATATGTATCAGCATTAATTAATCATGTTCATGTTCGTAAGGACGTAAAACCTGTAAAGCTGAACGACCCTATGTTATTAGTTCACTGATGTCAATGATGCAACTTCAAATTATTTGACATCATGGGAATGTAAGTATTGCAAGACTGCACAGAATTGCACAGACCTTGGATTTAAAATCCATCCTTGCAGTCTTATCCGTAATGGCTCTGAATACAAAACTCTCAGATGCTCTAAATTAAATCAGAATCGAAACCATGGGATTATCAATCTTTTTAGTTGCAAAATGCTTGCAATCCCAGTCTCTGGTAATTGCATCGTCTAGCAATTATCATGAGACTTCACTGTTTGAGATGCAACTCTGTGTGCAATAACCTCCAAGTTCTGTTTTATTCAACTTCTCTTTAGGCCACCACAGAACTATCGTCTCCACGAGCCATCCCATCCTTGCTCTGCTCCGCGAGTGCTCGGGACACTGGCACCATGAGGCAGCCAGACCTCCATGCAACTGTTGCAAGAGGGAGTGTCACTTGGCTGGAGAAGATGCTGAACTGAAAGACTTCCCCTGAACCAGCACCACCCTTCTCAGGGAGGGCAAATGTTTTACCACTTAGTCCAAAGAAGTGCTGGTTCAGTATCTCCTCAGGCTCTATTTTAACCGTTTTCTTTTAACTCTAGAGCTCACAAAACTACTTTCTAAAGTTTCTGTTGTCCCTTTCAACAGAAGTTTTACAGAAGTTTAAAGATGATTTGCTCTTTACAAGATGAAGATGTTTAATTATACAAGCCTAATTGTATCCCTTTATTAGCAAGCCAAGATCACAACTGCACACTGCACTGTTCTCCTTAACAAAACCTACCACACTATCTCTGCCCATCTAGGGGAGGACTCCTTTGGTTTATTCTGAGTTTTGTTGTGAGTCTTGTTTTAAAGCAAAATGCTGCATCCCAGCAATCCTCAGTCAGTCAGGTTTCACAGCAGCCGTTTCAACTGGAGCAGGACTTGCCAGACAACACTGCTGGCAGTAACAAAGTTCATTACAGGTATGTACAACAAATGCATTGTTACATGGCATGGGCTCCCTGTGGGCTTGAGGTTTAACACTGTTCTCTTCCTTCTGACCTGCATCATATATGTACACATATAGAAACATGCTACTTTATAAAGATCTCCAAACACAGCATATGAACAGTATTCCATCAGAAATGAGGCACATGGCTTGTGGAACAAGAAGTTTAAAAAACTATCAAATCACATCTTAGAGTTAAATATTTAAAGATGCATATTACCACCTTTTTGCTGAGCTCCAAGCAGGAGAAAAAAAAGTGAAAGTTTCCAATATTTTCCAGCACTTTGGGTCTCAGAAGCCAAACTTTATGGTGTTTGTGAACATCCCCTAAGCTTGCAAAAGCACGGGAGGGGTGTTTAACACAGCCCAGAATTATTACCACAGCATCACCCCGGGTGTTACAGGCAGCACCACGCACCTCACAAATCTTTCTGTCAGCTGACGTACAAAATCAAAAATCTCATTCCAGTTCGTTGCCACGCTCCCAGACCTGAAAGGGAAAACCACAGCATATAAGCGGCCTGATCTCGGGTGACATTTCGGGGAGAAGCTTACAATATTCGCTGTTCCAAACACCTGGAGTCACGGCCAGCCCGGCTGGGATCGGCATTCGCCGGTAAGTTTATCGCGATTTGTCGCGGTCCACGCCGTGAGGCGGCCCCGACCTGACTCCCCCGCCTCCCTGAGGGCGATCGCGGCCGCCGCGAGATGAGAGGGGCGGCAGATGCTGCGGCTTTCGCTCCTTCAACATGCCCGGCCACAAACACCCCTCTGGGGAGAACTTCCGACGTCCCTGTCCGAATCCGCGACCGGCCGGCGTGCAGCGAGGTCCGGCGGGATCCGCGAACTTCCCGCCGAGCTCCTCTCGGAGACTCCCCTCAGAGCCGCTGAGCGCGCGCGCGGCCCCTCAGCGCTCCCCCGCGCACGCGGCCCTCAGCGCTCCCCCCGCGCACGCGGCCCTCAGCGCTTCCCCGCCCGCGCTCCCGCGCACGCGGCCTCAGCGCTCCCCCGCGCACGCGGCCCTCAGCGCCCCCGCGCGCGGGTCCTCAGCCCGCCACGGCCACCCCGCGCGCGCAGCCCCTCAGACCCCGAACAAAAGCGGCGCCGCCGCCGCCCCCGCTATCCGATGGCGGCGATGCCCCCCTCCCGTCTCTCTTCCTCCTCCCTTACTTGTCCAACACGAAGTACATATCGAAGGCTCCGTGGCACGATGGCTCGCCCGCGGCCGGCACGGCGACAGCGGGCGGCGGCAGCAGCAGCAGCAGCAGCAGCTGCAGGGGCACGGCCCCCGCCATGGAGCCTGCGGGCGGCGGAGAGCGGAGGCGGGCACTGCCGTCCTACCGCTCGCCGGAGTGGCCGCTCCTCGTCACCGCCGCCGTGGATCACCCGGCCCGGCCCGGCCCGCCCTCCCCGCGCCGCCTGGGGCGGGGGACGGGCCGGGCGGGCTCGCACCGCCCCCGCTAGCCATGGCGACCCCGCGCGCGAGCCCGGGCCGTGCCCCACGCCCGGGAGGGACACCTTGAGTCGTGTAGCTGCCGGCATTCCCCGTGTGCCATGGATTAAGCCCCAAGTAAACGTAATGTTCAGGGGAGTTGGGGGGTTTGTGTGCACAAACGCCTCAGTATTGTGGGGGTTTTAAACAAAGACAACAACAAAAAATGACCTAACGGGGATCATATGTCTCCCATAGGCCGTGGAGGTGAATCAGACACATTGTCTGCTCCAAAAAGGATCTTGAGGCTCTTCCCTCTGCAAGAGGAGATGGGGAAGTCAGAGTCACAGTCATCCTGCCGGAGAGTTTTCCTTTCATCCGATTTCATCCCGTTTCCTGCCGTCTCTGGATGGTTTCCTGAAGCCACAGTGCTCTGACCTGACACGTCCATGTCAGAGTGCCTTCTCTGTGCAGATCTGAACGCCAAGCATCTGTGTGATGTAAGTTGGAAATTTTGTGAAACTCCGTGGACCAACAGTGATTTATGTCAGCCAGAGATCTGGCTCATGAAGTTCTTAATGTCTTAGAGCAGCAAGGCCAAAGGTTAAGCAAGCAGTGTTTTACAGTCCCTGTGGATGCACAAAACATGAAAGATTAAGGACAGAGCAGCCTGTGCTTTGCCAAAGACACAACCAAAGGAAAGGCCATGCAGTGCTGCCTCTCCCTCTCCACAGGGGCATGTGAAACAGAAGAGCAGGCTTGCTGAGCTTCCCAAAAACAGCTGCACTCCAGCTTTCTGAGCTGCATGAGTCCTCCCCAAGCCCCGTGAGCACTTGCCTTGCCTGGGAGTACGTGTCATGTTATCCAGATGTTGGAAATCTTGCTTCAGGCACATGTGACCCACTGTTTGGAATGAGCCACTCCTGCCAGTTTGCTCTTTTCTTGTTTCCAAGTGTGTGGATTCCTCTTTTAGGCTGTGGTTTCTGCTGAAGTAGCAGATAAATCGTGCCTGTTTTGCTGGAATGGCTGGATGAGAGAGAGACGCAGAGGAGGTACAGGGCAGTGGATCGTGGCTATCTGCCTGTGTTTGGCTTCATTTGCACAAGGGCCCAGAGCCTCCTTTCCTGGTTCCCAGAACTCATTAGCCAATGCTTGGCTCTGTCCCAGCCTCCTCCAGCATCCCAGCGCTGCGTAAACCTTGGCCCAGGGATGGGCGTTTCTCCCTGTGTGCACACACAAACCCTCAGGAAAGCTGCTTCCTGGAGCTGAGCTGGTATCTTGATGATATCCAAAGAGCTGGATAGGGCATCAGCAGCTTGTCAGTGCCGAGACAAAGATCATGTTGCAGCAGCAGGAGGGGACTGCTCGTGCTCTTGGCTGCATGGAGGGAACCAGGCTGGGTGCAGACCTCTGCCACTGAGTCTCCCGCTGCCTCTTGATGTTAGTCCCACATCTGGAGAAGCAACAGGTGGCTCCCGCTCCTTGGCCTGTTGGTCTGGAGTGGAGCTCACAGGACCTCCTTTACACTGTTTTCTTGTGCTATACTATTCCCTGGTGGCTGGGACAGCAGGGAAAACAGAGGGACAGGGGGTAACTGTCCTCGGTCATTCAAAACAGAACTCTTAAATAAATACAGCTTTAAAGTAACCCAGCACTAGAAGCAGAAGTTTTCACATGAAAGGTCGATGTGCAAATGAACACAAACTCATTGCCAAGAGAAAGTAGTAAACAGAACAGCTTACAGCACCTTTGGGGTTATACAGTTCCCTTCTTTGTCTCCAGTATTTGCAGATGATTTCCCCACATGTGGTCGTGTAACATCTACCCACTCCCACCTTCTTTTTGGCCCAAGCCAGTCGGGAAGAGCTCAGGCAGGCAATACGAGTGCCAAACCAAACTTGGTGTATTTTAGGAGTGAGCAGTTGGAGCGAAAAGTCACTCTCAGTGTAACCTGACTGTAAGCCTGGTCCCGCCCTGGGTCCTCGGGAATGCTGCAGCAGAAAGGTGGCGTCTAGGGGGGGAAAATCCTTCATTGCTGCGGTGAGGTGACCTTGGGACCAGAGTCAAACAGCAGCTCGGCAGCCGCACAGGCTGCCTTTTCCATACAATACAGAGGGTCAGGAAGGCTTTGTTGCTTGACAAATCCAGTTCTGGTCCAGGATACCTCTGCCCAACAGCCGTGAGCCAGCCTGCTTTCTGCGGTATGCTCAGCGATTGCCAAAATTTTGTCGGGGAAAAATGAAACTTGGGTGTGTCTGTGTGTGAGGCTGCACAGCTGATTAATTAAATCTCCTTTCTGACTAAGATCTGGGATTGCTGTTCTACCAAATGATCCCAGAGCAGCATGAAAGGGGGGAGCTGGAGGTCCAGTGCTTCACAGCACTGGCATCAGCTAGCACTTCCAGACGCCCTGAACTGTGCAAACCCAAGGTCAGGTGATGCTGATGGGAACCCTTGAGTTATTCCAGCTTAAAACAGATTTTGACTTCGGGCAGCTTACAGAAAAATATTTTTTTTCTCTCCTCACAGGATATGAACCACACATGGAAGTCTCATGCTTTGTAAAAAGATAGAGAAATCAGAAGGACCCCAGCAGTTATACAACGTGCAGGAGCTGTTTGGAAGCTGCCTCCTGAAGGATTAGGTACAAATCCTTTTTCCTTTACAGCTGTAGCCTCATGTCTGTGCTCATCCTGCAAAGCAGTGTAGAAATGAATAAATAAAAAGGACAGCATTAAGTAATAAAGGAACTCTCATGTCCCTGTGGTGCTGCATGCATCACCCGGATGGAAACTATCTGTCTAGACAAATTTGGGAATTATGCAAGCTCAGAATTCCTGAATAAGCCTTCTTTTCCAAGATCATGAAGCATTCTCAGTACCCGCTGAAAATACATATGAAAACGCAGAGGGGTAAAAAAGCCCTCAATTCTGAAAACTAAGAAACCTAAAGACTAGCAGTATGGATGAGGGAAGGTAGAAATGTGGGAATACAGAGTGATGTCCCTGCTGTGTGCACACTGACCCATTGGCTGCCCTGAGGAGCCGGAGATGATCCTGGGACTCACTCCTGGTTCAGCAGAGGTGGAGCAGGCTCTGTTGTTCTTTGGTGTGTTTCTCTGCTGGTGGATGCCCTGCACCGGACACTGCTCGTGCCCACTTTTCTAGAGCTGTTTGTTTCCACAGCGCTCGGATGAGCAGAAGGAATGAAAACAAAGAGGGAAATATGGGCTGCCCTGGTGCAAACCACCACAGAATAAAAATAAATCCCTCTTGGCCCAGGAGAGCAAAAAAAAATAGCAGGACAGAAAACATGGAAATGCTGCTGTGGCCCAGGAGCTGCTGCTGGCTCAGAGCAGCGCCCAAGGATCACCAGGACTGGGAGTTTAGCACAACTCTAGAGTTGCAGTGACCCTTTTTGGTCTTGTCAGGAAATAACGGCCCAACCAGAGGAGACAGAGGAATTCTGCCTGCAGAGCAATGCATCCCAGAAACAGGGCAACACATTTCTGAGGAGTATATGGAGAGAAATATTTTTTAAAAAGCACAGGTCGTGATTCCACAACCACCCAGTTCGTGACAGTTTTATCATTAACTCCATAGGAACAGGACAAAACCCTCCTGTGGTGACAGACATCACTTGTGCTCAGTTTGGGGTCACACTGGGTGAAAAGGGGCTGATGTTTATCCATCCAGCCTGACCCCTTTGCCGCTGCAGAGGAGAGAGAGGGCATTGTACTGTGAAGTCCCTTGTGTCCTCCCAGGACCAGGGGAGAACAAGGAAAGAGCAATTGGAAGGATGAATGATAAAACAACTGCTTGTACTACTGTTAGGGGGCAATTAGGTCAATATTTACGCAGGAGCAATGGGCTGCAGCAGGACAGCACTCACGAGCCACCGTTGGGTCAGCAGCCCAAAAAGCAGATGTGCCAATTTCCTGTCTTTGATGATGATGGGCCCTAATTACACCAGAGCTGTGGCAACGTCCTTTCTTGTGTACGACCCCTAATTCGGTTTCATGAAGTCATCTGTGCCAGGTTCTTCCGGAGTGCGAGGCTGAGTGAGTGACAGCCACAGAAAACCATGTGCCCCACAGAAGCAGTGTGCCCAAACAGCTGGGCCATGCTTTGACCCAACACAGTTCAAGTGTGGGCCAACCAAAACTGTCCTTGGGATTTGGGTCTATTCCTTGGCTTGCTTTACCTCTTGCAGGTTATCGTGCCTGCTGATGAGGAGGTGTGGGCTGGGGGAGACATTGCGGGAGGTATGTGGGCATTCAGTAGAGACAAGCACTTAGAGAACTTGTTTGTTTCTGGGGGGAGGAACTTTGGATTTGGAGTAAAAACTTACTCCTCTGTGTTTTTTCGCCAGGGAGATTGCTGACATTGCTACTGGTGCTCCTTTCAGCAGTTTTTCACCATTCCTTTCCATGGTTTTTGCCACTTTATTTAGATTTTTCTACCCCTTTTTTTGCCTTTTTTTTCTCTACCCATGATTTGAGGGGTTTCCAAACCTCACTGGGGTATTTCCCTTTTTGCATGCAGACCTTGCACTCGGCTGCAGACATGTGTTCCACTGTCTTGTATAACATCAGGTTACTGAAGACTTGTACACCAACCTGCAAACTCCAGCCAGACCTTCTAGAGGATATGCTCAGCGAAACACCACATTTAGTAGGTAGGTTGGGATTTTATTGCAGTCAGCTCCTGGTTCTGCTGCTTGTCAGACTTCAGGGCAGGAAGGATGCATGTGGGAGTGTTTGCTGGCTGAGTCAGGGCCATGCCTGGTTATTTACCAGGTGAGTTGTGCCGGTGACTCTGTGTATGTCAGCCTCACTTGCCCTGTTTGTGTGAGCTGCTCCCCCAGCTGCCTGGATGACAAGTGCTTCTATACATCAGTGTGACTGTGCTGGCCCTCAGACAGGAGTGAGGTAGCTTGGATGTATCTTATCTGACTGGTGCTCACATCTGCGTGACTCTGAATTACTCTTTCCTCAATTTCTTCACACTTAAAAAGTTTAACTTGTACTATATGGTGAACTATATTAAGAAGTTTAACTTGTACTTAAGACAGTAAGACACGTCTTACCGTCTGTCATCCAAAAGACTGTCCTTTTCTCTTCCTGTGTCTGGGCAGGTAGGGTGGCTGGAGGTGGAGCAGTATTGTCGGGATTGCAAGCTCTGTTTCCAGCAGTGCTGTTGCAAGAGCAGCAAATGCAGTAGTGCATAAAGGTAGGAAGGGTCATGTCCCTTCACCCAGGGATGAGCAGGTGAAGCGGCTTGGTAAGGATGTTTCCATGGATCAGCTTATAGGTGTGTAGAAGGTGACATATTTGGCCTTGCTTTGGGGCAACATGTACAGCTGACATACAGTAATAGTCACAGGAAAAGAGCTGTGGTGCTAAACTGTCATCCCCATGGGGCAGAATTTCAGTGTTCACATTGAATTCTTGTGGTCTCTTAGTTGTAAAAAAAGCTTTATAAAGGAAATCTTTTGTTCAGCAAAGCTAAACCAGAAGCACAATAGCTTGTGGTACCACGGTACCACAGCACAAGACATCTGTAGTGAAGCACTTAGAACAGGGAGGGGCTTCAGTCCCTGCTGAGGATGTGCAAATAAGATGCGGTTTAATTCCCCAGCAAACTCATTTCCTGAGTCAGAGACGGTTATGAGTCAGTGTGTGCTCACTTGGGCAACTCACCTGGTGGCACAGACAAGTGATGGCGCACAAGCCCCTCAGCAGCTCCCTGCCAGTCCTGTGCTGTCCCACCTGCACAGCTGCTCTGAGTTGGAAACGTGGCGGCTGCTCATCAGCACTGCCTGTCCTTATCTGCAGAAAGTAAGGAATAACCCTCATAAATTCCATCCTGTAAATCAAACTATACTGATCACAGCTCTCATGAGCCACGTCACAAACCCTGGATGAGTGGCAGGGAAAGGCGTAGATGAGTCACCAGCAGGGAGCCAGCACCTTGCTGCCTGCCCCAGGGGAAGCTGTGCACACAAGCATCATCCTTCTCTATCCTTGTCTTGAACCACAGAAATGATCCCTGAAAGTATGGTGACACTTTTCCAGATGGGCAGGTGACATCAGTGCACGGTGTGACACTGAATGTGCGTGTCAGGAACGTGTTTCAGTGAGAGCGCTGAGTGGGGCTGCTGTTGCCTGAGGAATAAACAGAAACATGGATCTGAGAGATCCGAGTCACCTAGAGATTGCCAGCCAGGGTGGACATCTGTTAACAAGGATGTGTGACCACAGCCAAGGCAGCAAACCTTGCTGGTTAATATTCACTTTTCCAGTTTCACTGATGTTTCACTAACTGTGAACATCAGGGGGAAAAAATATGAAAGAGGAGGTGTGGAGCATATTCTGTATCCTGGCAGCATGGGGAAACTGAGTCTGTACAGCATCCCAAGTGTCTGGATAAATCACCCAAACTAGTCTTCACTTGTAACTGGAAAACAACATAAAAATAACAGGGGACTTGGCTTGGGTTTTTCCCACAGTTCTGCTTTACAGAAACATGATGTCTCCGCTGCTGTGTGGTGAGAGACAGTCCCCATCTCTGGCTGGAGATTTTTTGGGTGTGGGGTAGGAGGGTTCAGATCTCTGTCTCTTATTTGTTCCTCATATGAACTCTTATAAAGTTCCTAGGCTTCCTCAAATAAGATGTGTAACTAAAAACACCAAGCAGAACACTAAGAACACCAAACAGAACACAGGAAAAAAACCAAAACCCAAAGAAAATGGGCAAAAGAAAAAAAATGAACCAGTTTCTCAGCTGTTGTGCTGAGGGAATTTTCATTCAGCATCTTGTAGGAAGTGTTTCACGTCTTGCAGAATGAAAGTTACTGAATGTAGCTCATGAAGGCAGAATGCTGCAATACAATTTAGAAGCCCATTAGAGATCATAATCACAGTGACAGATGTTGGTGGGAAATAGGAGCCATCACAAAGAAAAATAGGGGTTTAGTTACATCATTTGGGGACATTTTCTGAGATACCTAAGGGGTTTGATTACTGCTTGGAGGTTTCTTAGTGCAAAAATCCATTGGAAAATAAGAGTAAAGCTCTCAAATATTGAAAGGACTTTTCAAGACTTTGCTTCTGAGAGCCATATATTGAAATTGTGTCTACTAACCCATGTTGGAGTGGTGCATGCCTTTCTCTTAGGTGAGCTATCCACGCCACAGCGGCTCTGTGGAATGCAGTGGGTTGGCACCTGTGCTGCGAGGTGGGAGAGCTGTGCCTGGGTAGGGAGCCATTAGAGCAGCTGGACTGTACATGTAGCTGGAGCATGGGCTGGCAGCACGTGCTCTGGATAGCGGGGCTCTAAGCAGCTGCCAAAAGGTGTTACTTGGCCTGTTACCAGGGTAAGTGTGAGATCACCACAGACTTGGAGATGTGTGCCCTTCCTTTGTGCTACCCACTTCCTCTTGGTTGCATCATCAAGATTGAGACAGATTTTACAGGAAATCCAACTGATCATGCACACAAGGAGGGACTCACAAGTGAATGCCAGGATGAGAGGCGTGTGTGGCTCCTTGAGGATGGAGCAAAGGTCTGTCCACCAGGAAATCCTGGGTGGCAGGGCCAGAGTGGGGTGTGAGCCCCCACTGCCGCTGCTCCCAGGTGCTCTCTGTGTCGTCCAGTTTGGGAGCGCAGAGATGGAAAAAGGCCCAGTGGCCAGCCTTGGGAAGTGGAGCTGCAGGGC